CGACTAACATGTAGTAGTAATAGTAAGTGTGTGAGTGTTACATCATATACACTACATGAGGAAATGTGCCAGATAGGCTATTGAGCCGAACATTGAACCCTCCACCAGCAATGCTGCTCTAATACCAGCTTCTAGAAATAGCTGGGCCACTCCAAGAGAGAATCTGGGATAATATCGTCGAGAATAGTAGCATTGAGAGTATCCTAGTATCCTACACTATCTTCATCCAATAAGTGTAGTCTTTATAGATCGCTATGTCACTAGGCCCTATCGGACGACGCGATAAACGTGATCGTTGATTGGCCGTAAGACCATTGGGCCGTCCCTCAGGAGTGATGTGCGAAGTGAAAGCCATGATATTGGGAGCTTCCGAGTGTGTTGATAACTTACTCAGCCTCTGAGAATGAAGTAGATAGTTATTCGATAATAACCACCATTACATGTCCATGATTATTTCTCATTATATTGGTTTTATCCTTCTCAGTAGTTCCATGCTCAGCTACTGAAGATTAGAGCAAGACCCAGTAAGGAGCCCAGGAAGGAGGTGGTATGTATGGCCTACCACCAGAAATAGCTGGAGAGATGTCCGCAGTTGAACTGGTCATTGTGAGCAAGGAAGCACATGAACACTATGAACAACGACAACACTGTCGTGGGTAGTGGTGGATGATGATGTCAGTACTCACGTCGCTCCTAAGATAGGAGAACGGCAATGAGGAGGAAGTGATAGTCTAGACCTGTTATCCCTAACTAACACAACAAGGCCATGCTGTGGTTATATTCCCATAACAAGATGATCGGATGCCAATTAAGGTGCCTCATGGATGATAACAAATCTCACAGTAAAGACCACCACCACTGTAAGGAGGACATACACTCCTGAACTGCAACAGCAGCAGCAATATGATCATCTACTACCATGTTGGGCGCCTTACCAGATGATGCAACTGTCTTTATAAGACAGTAAGTGATGATGATGATTATTGATCACCATCGGATGCCTCTAACGATGCCAGCTGCGTTGACTCAACTTCGACTTCCGTAGAATCCTGGAAATATTACTCCTATCTAATCACTGTGATACTCCTACCACATGATGGAGTTGTCTTCTAAGTATCCTCTCTGCCTCATTTGGCCCATGCCCCTCCTCCTCCTCTGTCAGGTGTGGCTGCCTCCTAAGTATCCTCTCTGCCTCATTTGGCCCATGCCCCTCCTCCTCCTCTGGCAGGTGTGGCTGCCTTCTAAGTATCCTCTCTGCCTCATTTGGCCCATGCCCCTCCTCCTCTGGCAGGTGTGGCTGCCTTCTAAGTATCCTCTCTGCCTCATTTGGCCCATGCCCCTCCTCCTCTGTCAGGTGTGGCTGCCTCCTAAGTACCCTCTCTGCCTCATTTGGCCCATGCCCCTCTTCCTCTGGCAGGTGTGGCTGCCTCCTAAGTATCCTCTCTGCCTCATTTGGCCCATGCCCCTCTTCCTCTGTCAGGTGTGGCTGCCTTCTAAGTATCCTCTCTGCCTCATTTGGCCCATGCCCCTCCTCCTCTGTCAGGTGTGGCTGCCTCCTAAGTACCCTCTCTGCCTCATTTGGCCCATGCCCCTCCTCCTCCTCTGGCAGGTGTGGCTGCCTTCTAAGTATCCTCTCTGCCTCATTTGGCCCATGCCCCTCTTCCTCTGGCAGGTGTGGCTGCCTTCTAAGTATCCTCTCTGCCTCATCTGGTCCATCCCCGACGGTTTGAGCGGAAGCAGGTGGCCAATCCGGGTCCTAACGAACACCCCTCATACCTTCATATCTTACCCTACACACAACGACTAATAAGGGACCTACAGTCCACGGTGTTGTTCTCTGTAATCTCGAAGTTCGAGTTGTTCGCCGTTTTTGAGCTCTTTGGCACGGACAGAGGGCACCGAGAGGACACTAAGAGATAGAATGCCGCCCCTAGCCCCACACTACTACTACTACAGAGTCCTGCAGCACATCGAGACACATACGACACTTCCGTTCCCACAAAGCCCCACCACGACGTTTCAATGCATCCATAACCTCTGGGGATAGACACTGAGAGAGCGGACGCCTAAACGAAGATATTCCAGTAGTGATACCCTCATAGGCCATGTTTGCCCTCGGGTGGCCTCAGCAAGGGACCATCTACCCAACCGTACTGGTACCACTGAAAGGGCAGTAAATGTTATTATAGCTCCTTTCTGAATACCAAATGAGTGTAGCACTTTAGCGAACAACACATTCAGCATGATTCGAGTTATGGTTGTGAGTTTGTCAACTTACAGCTAATAGTTACTTGTATAGGGCTCCACTCTATTCGGTTGCTGGAGACTCCTGCTGCTCGTGGTGACACTACAGGTAGGTTAGAGTAGTGCCGTCTACCACTTACTCTAACCCCTACAGGCCCCTTGTATTGTTGTTGTTGCTCTATCATGACAAAGTTTTAAAGAATCTAAAGGTCGACAAAAGAATATTCTAAAGTAAGGTTTCGCGTTATCTTAGCAACTACAAACAAAGCTCGCTCCGTAGGACCGTTACTCAGCAATTAATACCCACAGTGTGAGTCTATCCACGGAGAAGCTCAGGATCGAATCCCACTATTTTGTCAGGCGCGCGCTACTTGCATAGCGTGATCGATGAGACTCATAAGAAGCCGTGGTGGTGTTTTCTCAACCTTCCTCTGTGGCTAAGGCTCTGCTACAACTATGCGTTATACTTACGAACCTCGTAACCCCGCGAAGGCTGTCCGTGTCCGTGGATCTGATATCCGTGTTCACTACAAGAACACCTATGAGGTGTGTCAGGCCATCAAGGGTATGGGCCTCAAGGCTGCTCAGACGTAATATTTACTACACGTTTTCTTGCCCATTTTAGGACCTATCGTATGCTTGTTGTTCAGTTACCTTGAGGACGTCATGGAGCACAAACAGGTTGTTCCCTTCCGCAAGTTCTGTGGTGGTGTCGGCCGTACTGCCCAGGCTAAGGCCTTCAAGGCTACTCAGGGTCGCTGGCCCACCAAGTCTTGCAAGGTCGTCCTTGGTCTCCTCCGTCAGGCTGAGGCCAATGCCGACTATAAGGGTGTTGATGCTGAGAGTATGACTCTCACTCACGTCCAGGTCGACGAGGCCCAGAGGGGTCGTCGTCGTACCTACCGTGCCCATGGTCGTATTGGACCCTACATGAGCTCTCCTGCCAACATCGAGTTCATCTTCGAGCAAGATGATGAGACTGTTGAGAAGCCTGCTGAGTCCACCAGGGTAGTATAACATGAGGATTTAATTATTTCGTAGTATACATTCTATTATGTAGATCGTCAAGTTCACCAAGAAGCAGTTCGCCAAGCGCCGTCTTCACATTGGTAACTAAGCAGCCACTACCAGTCTTATCGGGATAATGCACAACAATCTACAGCAGCAGAGTTTCGGTGGTGCCTAGCCTCTTGGATACCGAGGAATAACGCTGCGTTGTGTTTATTGTAAAATGAGGAGGGCGGCAGGAATGCAAGGGAATGTTTTGGAAGGCTTCTGGATTAGTCCCACTACATGTGTGAGGAGCACGTCCGGTATGAGCCGAGGTGAGGGGAGAACCCCTCCCTCGGAAAGGGAGGTGAAATAGTTCAGTCATCCCAAGATAGCAACATCGAGTTGTCGTTATTGCGGAGATAATCAATTCGTGCGAGAACGGCTGGGCTTTGATTCTATTGTAATACATAGGGTTTGTCACCCAAGCGGACATAAGATTATGTGTTATATCATGTTTCGTCTGGCCAGGAGACTGCTCGGTCAACCCCGGTAGTCACTCATCTTACCTATCTCTGGTGGATGCTTTTGTTGTGCCATGATCGTCAGTAATCTATGTTCTCGTACGTTACCATGGCGAGGGATAATAATAGTATGGCCGAGCTTCAGCATGGACGCTTTGTCGTTGATCCTTCCTCACTGAATACTTCTATCCGACTATGTAATATATTAGGATTATGCTGTGGTGTAGCACGTTTTACTTGAGGGTGCATGCTTTAATTGGTGGATGATCATGTCGCGTATGTGAGTATATCATATACTGTATATGCATATCATATGCAGCATATGTAAAGTTTACATTGTAAACTACTCACAACATTTAGAGGGTAAAATTGTAACTTGGGGAAAAATCAAATGGGATCATTATTGTGTTCTAATGATTCATCATCAGAACCTCTTCCTCACTTCTCCTCGGTAACAGCACACTTGGACATCGACATTTCATAAATACATTCACATGCCCCCTCAGTGGACGCACTACCCCTACGACTATTATTACTGTAGCTGCCTCCACCTCCGAATGGGTCCAAACTCGTCTTCAGGAACGGGCTGTGAGGTGTCTAACTCCATCCCGAACCACGGCATCTGTGTACCTCTCAAGTAATCATCTACCACCACCAACAACAACATCTCCATCTTCATCACCCTCATCTGATAGCCTCTGTTGTTCGGGCAATAATAAGCAACGACGCAACAGAAAGAATTTGCCGAAAACCATATAAAACTGCCTCTGAAAGGGCAGTCAGTCTTCGCTTTTGGTCAGCGGCTAGAACCTCTCGACTACTGGTGGCTAGAACCCGAACGATAACTCTGTTCCGTGTTATTAGTTCTCAAATTGCTGATAAAGGAATGGGGATATTTGTATCTCCGGCACTCTCTTGAACAACGCTAAGTCTAGAGTGGCGAGTTGGGTAGCTGAATGAGGAGGCCTATGTTGCCCCGCGGAGATGTACAGCAGATCATCGCTTAGTATGTGCAGCATAGGCACAGCTACCATGGTGACACCGCGTCCAACATGGACGGTTCGGGAAGATAGCCCATCGCTGACAACCGCATTCTTTAGCCTGTAATTCGATTATCAAATCCTGATCATCAGGACCTGATGTCGTCGGTTTCACTCGAGAGCAGCTGTCTGCAGGGCAAACAGGTGGACCAGTCGATGATCCTTGAACATGTTAGCTATTACTGGATGCTTCTAGCTATGTGCTAGCTGCCCTAACAACTAGCTAACGTCTTTCACCGAACCAACTACCCAACAGTATTGGGCCAATACTTAGATAACAAATCTGGCATGTCTCAAGATTAACATAGTGGTTGAGGGAGCCGCCGGTGTCTGGCTTCACAGATATTAGTGCCTTAGACGTTGGTTCTTCGGCCTTTTCATAAGGCATTTGCCCGCCTAGGACACCGAGCAGATGATCTGCTGCATGAAGGCGATGAAATTGTTCGTGAGAAAAGTGCAAGTCTTTTCAGGCTGAACAGCGGAGCCAAACTGCTGATTGAGGTCAGAAGTTCTGACTCAGAACTGGTTGTGTAAACCCCACTTAGATAGACCTCAGATGAATTTGAGTGTGATTTTCACTAACATTAGATACTCAGAGTTGGGATTTCATCATGAAATACTCTGACTCAGTGCCAAAAACTCTGAATCAACCGTAGAGTATAAATTTGGATCTTGAATCATGATTAGATATCATACATAGATCGGATTCAGCGGCTGATTGAAATCAATGATCTTGCTCGTGCGCACCCCAAAGTGCGACTCAACTTCCCCCAAAAGTATCTCGTCCGTTCTTGAATAAATTAAAGCGTGCCGTGCTTTCTGAAGCGTTGCGATCTCTGCCAAGAGCGGGTAGCGATCGTTTGAAGTAGTCTGCCATGCATTGTGATTAACTTTGTACGTCGTCAGCCTTGGTGATAGTATGAAATTATGAGCAAATTTTGAAAACTTCCTGTTAATTGCTGTACACTTCTAACCCAACTCGTATTATACGAGTTTATTATCGTAGTATTTCGTAGTGTAGTCGTATATGAACTCGTTGAATCAGTGAGCGAATTTCTGAGCTCAGCTGAGGTAAGCGGATATATATTGCAACAGGGTATCTGAAGCGAACTTTGTATATTGCAATTTGCAACTGTAGTCAGATGAGTGTGTATGCTATAGTTGGGACACTGCTGTGAATTTATGACTCGACTTGAGATTATCCAACACAATTACCGATATTCTATAAGTGATACTAGGTTTCGGAACTGTAACCTAAAATACTGAAATAATACTGTATTATTAATACATAAGTTCATGGTGATATTCAAGGCAACCATCTCACACCCGACCTACGCTGGCCAGCGAACGGCACCACAAAGGCAACTTTCCGGCTGCATTACCACGTCCATATGAAGAGAGCATTGAGAGCTCATCTCAAGGCGATGTTGCGGTCAGAAGCTAAGGAAAATGGAGATGATCTGGTTGAGATGTTCCTCGACGACGTGAGTTTCTATAAATATGCCCGTTCCATGATTTGTTCGCTGGAGCAGCCAGGGTTGGACCTTTGGGAGACTGCGGCCGCATACTTCCGCGACAACTGGTTATGCAAGAAATGTACCTGGTTCCACTGCGAAGTTACAATTGGACCCTCGGGTATCCAGGCTTTCCTACGCAGTTGAGGGGACGAACT